CCATAACCGGGTTGTTCATTAGAGGAGCAGTGGTGTTTAAGGAGTAAGATGTAACTCATGGGTAAAATGGTAATTTGACCCATCTTGAGTTACGAACACTCGTGAAGGATTGACTCGTCATTAATGGTCGTATATCCATGGACACGAAAACATTCTGCAGTGAGAAGAGTGCAACTACGGGTCTTTAGTGGAATGACCCGTAGTTAACAAATCTAGATTAACTCGGTCAATGAGTTTGACCGATTAATCTTGCATCGTTGGAGCTTCGGATCTATAGATCCATTAGATCCCCTTGCTAGCTCATAACGGGTAAAACGAGGATCAAGTTTTTGGAAGAATTTGAATTGTTCAAATTATTTAAGGGATTATATGTATATTGATACATTATAATATATAGTTAATTGTGAATTAAAACTATATATTATGAGAGATATTATTTGAATGAGATTCAAATAAAATTAATATGAATAAGATTCATATGAAAACTATAGGTTAAAAATAATGTGCATAAGATGTACATTAAAACTATAGGTTATACGAGAGAAATGTTTTAGAATATGATTCTAATTTTATAATAAATAATTAAGTGTTAATTATTTATGTATATATATATTTATTAATTATTAATTGGATTAATAATTAATTATATTTATTAATTAATTTGATTAATTAATTATATATATATTAATATATATATATATATATATATTATTTAATAATAATAATATTAAACTCCCCTGCAATATTGTAGGGGAGTGGGAGGTTGCTGTGACGTGGGGAGTTACCCCACGTCATTGTTCTTCCTCTTCATGGGTTGGAGAAAACAAAACAAAAACACAGAAAAGAAAACTCCCACCATTTTTTTTTCTCTCAAGAGCTCTCTCAATCTCTCCCTCTCGTTCCAAAGAAATTCTCCCACAAGAACGATCTCGTTCCCAGAGGATAGCGAGGAAGGCTCGGTGGTGGTGTTCGTCGGAAATTTGTTGAAGAAACGTTCTTCAAAGGTATTGAGTTTCCACTGTATTTTCCTTCTTTCAATTTCGGTTTTATATCCCAAAAATCAGCAATGAAGATCCGCTTCCGCTCCGAGATTCACATCCCTTCAGATTAAAACGATCAGATTTGACCCTGAAGGAGAATATTATGGTCGATATGATGGATCAGGTGAACAACATCGAGAACCCTTTGAACAATGTGACATAGTTCCTCAGTACACGATGCCTGGAAAACCTAGCATGAATGGAGTTGCTGAGAGGTGAAATAGGACTCTTAAAGATATGGTAAGAAGTATGATTGCTCATTCTTCTTTGCCAGAGTCTCTTTGGGGAAAAGCATTAAAAACCGCAGTGTACATACTTAACAGAGTACCTAGAAAAGTAGTAAACAAAACCCCATATGAGCTGTGGACAGGAAAAAGACCAGCCTAAGGCATTTACATATTTGGGGATGTCCAGCGGAAGCAAGGCTTTATAAGCCAAATGAAAAGAAACTGGACTCAAGAACCATAAGCTGCTACTTTGTTGGGTATGCTGAGTGCTCTCGGGGCTTTAAGTTCTATAATCCCACTTTAAGAACCTTTTTCGAGACGGGAAATGCTCGATTTCTTGAGAATATTGAGTTTGAGGGGAGAAATGAAAGTAAAGATGTTGTATTTGAAGAAGAAAATGCTACTATCAGGAATGATGTGGTTACTTCACCTACAATTATCAGTAAAGTAGTTTTAGATAATGACACTCAAGATGAAGTTCCAACACTTGATGTCATTATCTCTCAAGACAACACTGAGGACACATCACCCTTCCCTATAGATCAACCTCAACATACTCAAGAAGTGTCATTAAGAAGATCCACTAGAGAAAGAAGAAGTGCAATACCAGATGATTAATTGTATTTCTTCAAGAACATGAGGATAGCATTGGCCTTACAGAAAATGATCCTATCAATTTTCAACAGGCAATGAAAAGTTCTAAGGTAGATAAGTGGATTGAGGCTATGCAAGATGAGATGAAATCCATGAGTGACAATGGCGTTTGGGATCTAGTTTTGAGATGAAAGATCTTGAGATGAAAGAATTGGCAATGCCTGTTTTGTTTTGGGTATACAGATACTGCAAGATCGTTCTCAAGGTATCTTAGGGTTATCACAAAAGAGTTACATTGATAAAGTATTGAGTAGGTATGACATGAATGGATGTCAGCTAGAAGATACACTCGTAGCTAAAGGAGACAAATTCAGTTTGAATCAAAGCCCTAAAAGTGATCATGAAAGGAGTGAGATGCAAAAGATTCCATACTCATCAGTCGTAAGGAGTCTTATGTACGCTCAAGTTTGCACCCGGCCTGATATAACTTTTATAGTGGGAATGCTAGGCAGATATCTGAGCAATTCAGGTATGCAACACTGGAAAGCAGTCAAGAGGGTTATGAGATATTTGCAAAGAATGAAAGATCACATGCTCACATATCGGAGATCAGATAATATAGAGATCTTTGGCTTCTCTGACTCTGATTTTGCTGGATGCTAAGATAGCAAGCAGTCCACATCTGGGTATATCTACATGATGGCAGGAGGAGCCATTTCATGAAAAAGTGTCAAGCAATCACTTGTAGCTCCTTCAACAATAGCAGCAGAGTTTGTGGCGTGCTATGAAGCATCAAATCATGGAATATGACTTAGGAATTTTGTCAGCACTTAAGATAATTGACAGTATTGAAAGACCATTGAAATTTACTGTGACAATAATTCAACAGTGTTATATTCCAATCACAACAGGAGCTCGACAAAGTCAAAACATATTGACATAAAGTATCTTGTTGTTAAGGAGATAGTTCAAAATAATTTGATAACTATAGAACACATAGGAACATATAACATGCTAGCAGATGCTCTCACCAAAGGCTTAGTACCTAAGGTCTTTCATGATCATGTAGCCCGTATGAGTGTCATTTCAGTAGATAATGCCTTGGTTGAGTGGGAGTAATTTTAATTACAGCTATGTTGTTTTATATTTTTACTGCAGAATAAAGATGATGGTTTATTTGAACTCACAATGAATATGTATTTATATATATGTTTATTGCGTTGATCTCTATAAAGTATGATTAGGACCAGTTGAGAATAGACATGAATAGATCACTATGAATGTAATTCTCATGCTGCTCTTCGACACTTCATCTATGTCATCAAGTATATTTGGTGTGGTGATCATTGAAGGTTGAGTTGCGCTTTTACATGTGACAAAAGCTACCTTGGTCCCACATTGGTATACAAGATAGACTAGATTGTAATTAAAGAAAGTGTTTTTTTTAATAGTATTTGGTTGTGCACTAAAAGTCGAAACTTATATGATTTGTCGTAGAATTCTGTTACCCAAGTGGGAGATTGTTGGAATTAATTTAATTAATTCCATTAAATGAGTAACAATTTATGATAAATTAAATGTACTACTATTCATGGGAAAAATAAGTGGTCTAATTAGGGCCCATAAACTTCCTATATGTGATGTGACCCGCTGGGCAGATACCAGCCCGTTGATTTAGGGGATTATGTGAAACCCTAGAATCAACTTATAAATACAGGGTTATGGTCTCAATATACTATGTTCCTTTAGTCTCCTATTCCCCATCTAATAAAGAGTATTTCCCATCTTTGGTCTAAAGCTGCATAGTTGAGGAAGACCCAAATCACGCAGGTATTGCTACAGGAATTTGGAATCTCTACTCGTGGATCCAGATAATTATAGTTCTTAGCCTACTCCCATACATTAATCCTATATTAAAGTTTTTGTTTTCTAACAGTATATATACATAGTGGGCTGAGGAAAAACTTTTTACGTCAAATTTATCCTCTCATTATAACTCTTTTCACTCTTTCTTTGATGGCAATTTTGTCCTTTGAATATATTTTTTCTATTTACCTCTATTAATTTAAAAAGAATAATTTTAATAATCAAAAATTAAGGTTTTTAATAAACAAGAATTAAGTTTAGATGATTTAATTTTAAATATTTAAGCACTAATCTATTAATTTAGTGAAAAATCGATTGAAAAGCCCATTACTTCTCAAACTATTAAATTCCTTCATTCTTTTCCAAATTCATTGAATGATTGAAAAACCCATTACTTCTCAAACTATTAAATTTCTTCATTCTTTGCCTGCCCTCTCTCCCGATCCTTTCATATTCTTCTACTTCCATATATAAAGATTCCTCTTCACTTTCCTGCTGACAACAAAAAATCAAGAGGTGAACGAAATGGACTGAAAAATTGCCCATTGGTGTGAAGGTAGGGGGATTTTATTTCTCCTGCTTTTACAACTGACAATGGCAACGTGCATATGTGTGATCAATAGAATTTATATTCTATAGAGAGGAGCTCGGAAGACGAAAACCTCGGTATTAATAGGAAGTTTATGGCAGCTATTGGTTCTTTTTTTTAATTATCATTGTTCACATTGGGAGAGATTGGAGAGAGCATTCAGTTCAGACGGCACGAGATGGAATCAAGTTATTTACTTTTAGAAAGCGATCATACAATACTTATAAATTGTGCATGTACAATACCCTGAACTATGTTTACAAAGGAAAAAAATTCAAATTTTATCCCTCTCAATTTCATCAAATTGAATCACAGAAGGAGAATTCTTTTAGGAATCTTTTCCTCTCAGTATAATAAAAAATGATCAATTTTACGTACTGCACATGTTACTCACTAATATAACTAAAAGGTTATGATGATAAAATTGTTATTTTCATTGTGGAAAAAATTGTTATTTATGATTTTTTTCTTTCACATTTAGATATGAAATTCTATTTTCCACCAAAATCCAATAAAATCTACTGGGTTTCAAACCAGATTAGGAGTTTAAAATCATGAAATTTAAAATCTATTAAAATTCATTCTATTCCAAAAAAAAAAACCGGCCCGACCCGAATTGAATACGGGTTTTTATTTATTTATTTATTATTATTTTTAATCGCTCTCATCTCTTCATTCTCTTCTAACCGGATTCTTTTCCTCCGTTTTTTTTCCTTCCCATCCGAAAACCTTCCCCTTTTTATGTATCTTCGTCTGAATCCCATCTTCCCCTCTTCTTCTCTCTCTCTTACATCTTTGTTCTGCACAATATCCTCTTTTCATCCTCAGATTTCTGATTCTTGTTTGTTGTTGCTTAATGCTTGTTATGGGGCTGGGTAACCACGACGATGCGGTGGCGGAAGACGGCGATTATAGCGACAGAGGATGTGGCGACGGCGGTGGGAAGTCGTTTGGTTCTGTCGCGTGCTCGATCTACCTCGAGGTTGTCGCCGATTCAGGGGATAGATCTTGGGCTAAGCTTCAATGTGGCCAACAATTTGATCTTGGTCTGTTTCTGAGTTCTAATCGGAGTTAAAAAATTTTAAACTATAATTTCTTAAACAAAAATATTTGTCCCTATCACCATCACAAAATAATAATATTAATCATACAAATAATTTATCATTAAAAAATTGGTTACAGGCTTTGTTTTTATTCTAATCAAAGCTGTACGATCGATGCAGCTTCCTTCGTGCTCCTTCTGAGGTCAAACCCAATTATCCAGCCATGTCTTCTATCTTCTGAACCTCTCTTGTTTTCTTCATACAGTAATTCAGTGAGAAAAGCCTCTAGTTAGAAGAATATCCAGCCACAATTACACGGTGATCGGAGCTGTACATATACTGGAAAAACCCAGTTGATGAGGTCGCTGGAAGACATGGAATTGATCACTAGATCAACACAGCTGATAAGTTGACGTGTTTAGTTATCGAGTTTGTCAATCAAATGGAGAGAGCTTGGTTAAGGCAGAGAAGATGATGAGAAGATTTTATCCGATTGTTCAACTATTTATCTTCATACTCGTTCTTCCAACTACCGCACAAGAAGGTTAGTGTATTTGGTCGGAGATAATTAAATTGTCCTCTCCCTTCCCATCTTATGAAAATTTTCTTCGCTTTTTTTTTCTCGAAGGATATGCATAACACCAAGAAGTTAGGTAGCCTAATTTATTATCCTTATTTTCTTTTATCAACTTTATATATATGTGATGATAATTTTAGGTAGATACATGGCAATATTGTTGTCAAGTTTGTATATATAATCTCCAAATAATCTCCAAATGGAGATGTAGGTGAAATATTGATAGAAGCAGATGGAATTAAAACGATCAAATCGTTTGTGGTTTAGTTATTGACTTGATGCACGATCCCGATTTCTGGGCCGCTTGGGTGTCACTCGAGTGCCATGTACGCTTTCGTCTCTATGTAGTCTACACATAAAAATCTTGCACTAGTGCGATGCTTTCTATCGAATGCATTATGATACTTTTAGAATTCAAGTAGGGACAAACATATATGAAGCAGAAAAAATAAAAGAGCAAGAAGAGATTTTATTTGAGAGTTTGTGCTACTGGAGAGAAAGGTGTACATGACACCTGAGTGGCATCTAAGCGGACCTCACTCAAAAATTGGCATCAGCAGCATCCATAAGATTGTTTATTTGTTATTTCGTCCTCTCCAATTTTTTCTTCTTTTCCTTACAGAATATAAAGGGTTCCTTTTGGGCCTCAGCTACTATTTTATATAATTCATTATTGTAACATTATTAAGGTAAAATTTTATTGGTGGGTGATAATGTAGGTTTTGTGAGCCTAGCATGTTGTGCCGATTCAAATTTTACAGATACAAGTACAGGCATTGTTTGGACACCAGATTCCCATTGGTTCCCAAATTCATCTAGTTGCATAAACATAAGCAATAATGCCAAGTCTCGCATCTTTGGCAAAGCGTTGGGCAAAAGATCTTGTTATCGTATAAGCACTGTCAAAGGCCAAGAATATGTTATAAGGGGTACGTTTCTGGTGAAGGAGTCGAGCGCAAGCGGGGACTCATATTTTGGTGTTTATATCGGTGCTACGCTACTGGATTTAGTGAGCTCATCCCAAGACTGGGTGGTTGAGGGAAGCTTCAAAGCTGAAAGGAAGTATGTAGACTTTTGCTTGGAGAAGGAAAAGGGAGAGCCTTATATATCCTATCTTGAACTTAGGCAACTTCATGACTTCCGGTATCTCTCAAGGTTTCCATCTCACGCTTTAAAATTGATTACCAGACTTAACCTGGGGGAACCCCGATTCAACATCAGGTATTTGCTTCCTACTTTTCAAAAATTAAACAAGGGATCATTTATTAACCTTCCCTTTTGTTTCTAATTTGATTACCTCAAGATTTGATAACTACATTTTGATAACTACATGCTCGTTTGGTAACGTTCCTTTCTCGTTTCCAATTTTCTTGAGAAGTTTATGCATTTTACGACTAACCATGTTTATTTTTTCTCATTTTTTAGAAACATTATCAAAATTGCATATAAATTTTAGAAACAACCAAAATAAATTTCTCCTTTCTTGTTCCTATTTCCAAATTTGTTCCACTAACGTAAATAAAAAAATTGTTCTATCATACTTGAATTGGAGCTATGCAATTCATTTTTCTTTATTAGAAATGAAGAAATAAGAAACATGAATGTTACTAAACGAGTCCTACCTTTCTTGTTTCTCATTTTTTTCCTCATTTTTTAGAAACATGTTCAAAATGGTATAGAAACTTTGGAAATAATGAAGACAAGTTTGTTTCTTGAACCTATGGGAATTGACATTCCAAAGGTCATGCAGTTCTATTTTTATTTATTAAAAAGGAGGGAAAGGACCTAATGTACCTCCCAATTTTAATATCATGTCTACTGCCTATGATTAATAAAATTCGGATTCAAAAATTAATTATATATGCAAATGAGAAAAAAAAATCATTCTAAATATGTTCCAATATCAATGAATAGTGTAGGTAGGTAATTTGACCCAAAATAATAATATCTAGCATAAGCTAAAAATATTTGTACATATATTACAATTTTCCCATACATCTATTAGTGATACAAGTATATAACTTTATCACTTATGTAAATAAAAAGTATATTTAAATATAGCAAAACGGTTCGCCACTCGTTACAATTCCCCTAAAAAAGAATTCTTATTGCTTAGTACAAATCTTTCCCTTAAGAGAGATCTAACAAGAGAATGAGTTAAAAAAACCTTTTAACTTATGGAAAAAACTTTCTTCCTCAATTCGTTGCATATGGACAAGTGGACCATGCATGAATTATACAAAATAAAAATAAAAAACATTTGTAGGCAAGAATTCAGGAGAGAAGTTTTGTCCTTTTAACTTATTTTTCACACAAATTTGTACAATATTTCTAAGAATGGAAGTATAGTCAAGTTTTGTCTTTTTTCTTATTTCTTTTGAGTCGGGTAAGATTGAGATTTGAACTTCCAATTTTTTTTTTGTTGATAATATCTGCTTTAACTAATAGAGTTATATACTTAGGTTGACAAGTATATTCGATTACTTGTTGAAATGAATTCAGTTCTTATCAAAAAAAAAAAAAAAGAGAAATGGATTCAGTTCATCCTTAAATATTACTACTTATTTCTAATATGTAAGTTTCAAATGAATTCATTTTAAATGTCACAAAATTTAACAAATTGAAAATTTGATAACATATAATCTTGTGTTAAGGAGATAGTTTTCATCTTAACATTCAAAATGAAAGTAGAAATGGATGATATGATAAAAACTATAAACTCTATTATGTAATAGTCAAAGATTTTAATAAATCATGAATTAAAGATGAGTTTATACGAATATTTAACATAGTATTAAGATCTCACATTGAAAAGACAAAGGATTAACTTGCTCAAATGAGCATCCGGTCAAAAAATAATATTTGGCCAAGATTAATGAGTCCAAAAAATCACCATCCTTAGGGGCATGTTAAGATTAAACGTTCCAAAATATCTATTTTAGACTCTGATTATTATTATGTGGTCAATTGTTTGAATCCTTATATATTTATATTATCATAGTAATATAGGTGTTAATCAACTTAAACACAGTCAAACTTGTAAAACATTATAACCTGAAGGGTAGAGGATTGAATCTCACTCACACATATTTGTTATACTAATATTTTTAGTTATTAGAAATAAGTCGCATTTGAAAATTAGCGACTCTACTGAGGCAAACATTCTTCCAACTAAATATGCCCTAGAAATGGCATAGATAAAATCAGCTTAATTTCAGCTTGAGTGAGCATAAATTTTATGTTTTTGTTTTCTTTTCCAACTCCAGGTACCCAGATGACTTGAGCGATAGAATTTGGCAACCATCAACGTATTCTCAAAATATAGCTCGTTTATTATCAGAGCCCAATATCAATATCTCCGATGCTTCGCTTGGCGTTCCTTTGGAAGTCCTCCGAACTGCTCTTACTCATCCCACCCACCTGGTTTTCCTCCACGATGACCTCGACACAGCAACTTACGAGTATCGTATCTTCTTTCACTTTGTTGAGCTCAACAGGACTGTTAAATCCGGCCAAAGATTGTTCGACGTTTATATAAATAGTGAAAAGAAAGCAACCAACTATGACATTTTAGCCCATGGGTCCAACTACAGGTGGGAATTTTATGATATTCTGGCCAATGGGTCACTTAATTTGACCTTGGTTAAGGCCTCAATCGGGTCTGAGTTAGGACCCACTTGCAGTGCTTATGAGATCATGCAGGTACGTCCATGGATTCTGGAGTCTGACGAGGGGGATGGTAAGATTAAGTTCTGTTCAGTTTTGAAAGAAAATGTTAGATTTGTTTTTTCTTTTAACATTTTTAATTTATTACTAATTGGCCAATCTGCGTCACTTCATCCATTTTTGTCTTCCCAGTGGAAGTAGTTTTGGAGGTGAGGGATGAGTTGTTGGTAGCTAACCAACAAAACGAAGTCTTGGGTAGTTGGTCAGGGGATCCTTGTCTTACGATTCCCTGGGACGGTCTGACGTGCGACTCCATCAATGGATCCTCAGTTATCACCAAACTGTTAGTAGTTCCATACTATTGTTCTCAAGTTGTCTTGTGCTAATTTAACTGTGCTGTTGTTAAATACCTCGAGTTGGACAAAATAAATGGAAAATTTTGATAGTGGCAGGATTTGATCTCAGAATCTCTTACCTGCCTTACTAAAGTTGCAGAATTTTGAGCTATTAAGTTGGTTTCATTAAATCATATAAATTACTTCTTCTGGTTCTCCCTAGTTAATGAAGTGGCTATTTCCAGTTATTGATTATGTTTGGTGTAGGCCTTTACCATATTACCTTTTTTTTGCAATTTTCCAGGGACCTCTCTGCACATAAATTCAAAGGATTGTTTCCCGACAGTTTATCTAAGCTGGCCCATTTACAAACTCTGTATGGTTCACTCAACATGTGTTGTATTTTGGTCGTTAATGTTTAGGTGACTAAACGAAGTTTAACTTCAGAATGTTCTTTTTGTGAAATGCAGGGACCTCAGCAACAATGACTTCACCGGAAGCCTCCCATCATTTCCCGCTTCTTCAGTGTTGATATCAGTGTAATAAGCTCTGATGTTTATTTATTTGGTTATGGACCGCCCTTTAACTCCCTCAATATAGATTTATGAGGAAGGAATTATGTTGCAGATAACTTTGTTGAATATATTGTGTTTCACAATCTGTACACAATACTTGATTTCCCTAAATGGTTCCAATTATTTTTTTTTTAATTATTTTCGTCCTAAATTCTAGTGAGGACAAGTTGAAAAATCAAAATATGCATCAGAAGCTAAGAGAAATTTTCATTTTCATTTTCCCTCAATTTTCATATCCAGGGATCTGAGCCACAATAATTTTAGGGGAGAACTTCCTGAATCTCTTGCTTTGTTACCACATTTAAAAACATTGTAAGTTGTTTCAGAGTATTGTGCAATCTTCTTTAGCATCCAAAATTTGTATAATTTAACTTCTGCAAACTATAGCCACTGCCTCAATTAAATCATGAACCGTTGTTATGAATCTGCTTCTGTTATCAGTGTTCTGATTTATGTGTAGAAATTTTGGCTGCAATCCTTACTTTGGCAAGGAGCTTCCACCCAACTTCAATATGTCGAGACTTAATACAGAGTAAGAGTTATTTTATCCACAATCATATAGGTCAAAATACCATTTACGATGCGAGACATATCAACCAAAACTAAAGATCTTATCTCATTTCAGCTATGGAATGTGTGATCATTCAGCATCAACATTTCCGAAACAAGGAATTATCATAGGGACTGTTGCAAGTGGATCAGTTCTTTTTACTGTTATTATTGGTGTCATTTATGTATACTGTTGCAGACATAAATTTGCATTTAAAGGGAGATATGTTATGAAAAGAGAACTTATGGCAAAAGGTGAGATGCTTTCCTACCACTTAATGACTCATATCTTAAGATTTACAGAGATAAAATGATTGTTGTTTCTAGATATTGAAAGAAAAGAAAAATCATTGTACACCATTGTCAAATTGATTGTGCAAAGTTCCACGAGGAAGACGTGCATGAAATTTAACTGTGTAAAACAAAGTTCAACCCAAGGATCAGTATGACCCTGACTACTATGTTAGATTGTCAGGAAATACTTTGCAATCATCCATCTGGGTTTTTTTTTTAAATTTAAAATTATTCAGGTGATGTTCATATGTTATTGCTTTGTGAAATAACTGTTGTTACTTAGTGAGACCTGCTTGGAAATGCAGATATAATCATTTCTCTACCCAGCATAGGCGATGTTGTTATAAAATCAATATGCATAGAGACATTTACTCTCGAGCATATTGAAGCTGCTACCCAACAATACAAAACCTTAATAGGTGAAGGAGGGTTTGGATCTGTTTATCGTGGCACTTTGCCTGACGGTGAGGAAGTGGCTGTAAAGGTCCGGTCTGCCACATCTACCCAGGGAACGCGGGAATTTGAAAATGAGGTTCATACGAGAGTCCCAATTGTTTTCTCCTTTCTCTTATCCGTTATCCCATCTTTTTTCTGATTCTAATAGAAAACGTCAATCTTTTGTCAATATTTATTCCTTTTCAATTCTTACCAGTCTATTCTATCATCATTAATTTTGTTTGGATCAAGTTACTGGACACAATTTAGCTAGTACATTTTTATTAAAAATAAAATTATTATTTTATGTCTTAAATTGCTCCCACAAGTTATAAACCGTAGATGTATTCTTCTTACCCCAACTGAATTTGCTCATTTCTGCTATACAGCTAAATCTTCTTTCAGCTATTAGGCACGAGAACCTAGTACTTCTTCTTGGTTATTGTTGTGAAAACGACCAACAAATTCTTGTTTACCCTTTTATGTCAAATGGATCACTGCAAGATCGTCTCTATGGTAATTTACATGCTGAATCATTTCCACCGTATCCTAATTATTGTATAATATTTCTAAAACCAAATACTGCAATCTAACAGGGGAACTGGCAAAGAGGAAGACACTGGATTGGCCCACAAGACTTTCAATTGCACTTGGTGCTGCTAGAGGCAAGTAATATCAGTATGCAGTCATTTAGTTTCTAATTCATTAAACTACAACCTATTCAATGAGAAAGAAACTTGGACTTGACTTTGATATTACCATGCATTCTAATTTTGTGTTAGTCCTCCAGTGGTCTACTCTTATATGACAAAAGTGTAAAAGGGTAAATGGGGTTAGTTAAAGTTGGATAAGGGGGAGAGAATGAATTTTCTCATGTTTAGGAATCTTGTGACTGGCAATACAAGTGGTTATCACCTAGTCAAATGTAAAATATTTTTCTTCCTATTGATTCGTGGTGTATTGGGGTTTTTTGTAATCCCTAGGGTACAGGTCGAAGGATTTCTTCTCTCTCCCCATACTCTTTTTGTACATCTATGTTCCTCAATGCAATTGTTTTGGTGGTTTCCATCAAAATTACAAAATTAATATAAAAAGATAATAATTATTTGGAATGGACTACTTGGTTGTTGCACATTTTCAGTTCTGGGAATTCTTTTTTTTTTTAACAAGAAACAAACTTCTCATTAAGATAATGAAAAGGAACAAAATTGTTCAAAATACAAACTCTCGAAAGAGTGAGGATACAAAGAAAAAACAAAATAATACAGATAGATAAACTTAGTAAGGTGCCACAAAAACACTCCAATTCGAGGAAATCAAACTAGGAGAATAATGGTTAAATAAGGGAGATAGAGAACTCCATTGCGAAGCCTTATATTTGACAAGATCAAATCGAGCTGAAGGAGATTGCCTCTTATCTTCAAAAATCCTCAAATTCCTTTCAAACCACAGCTCATACACTAGGGCCTTTACTCTGTTAAACCAAAGAACAGAAGTTTTGGGATTCAAAACAGGCCCCATAAGTAACCGGCACAAATTATCCGCCATCTCGTTACCAAAAACCCATGCCAAATTGAATTCTTCCAACAGAAAATTCCAACACTGTATTGCGTAGGGACAAAAGAAGAAAATGTGAACCATACTTTCTTCATTAGCCAAACAAAAGGAGCAGACTGAAGGTAATAGACTAATATTTGGAAGTTTCTTTTGAAGAACATCAATTGTATTAACCTTCCCATAAAGAAGAATCCAATGTAAAGAAGCTCACTTTTTTTGGACTCTTGGATTTCCAAATAGCCTTGAATAAGGCTTTTGGGATAGAAATATCACTGCCCAGCTTACAAATTGAATCAACAGTGAATAACCCCGAACTTCCCAACGACCATTTTCTGCTATCCGGAACACTGCTAGGGTGATAAGAATGAAGCAAGCACACTAATGAGATAAATTCTTCCATTTCATCATCTTTTAATAGCCTCTGCGTAAAAATTTTCCAAGACAAAGTATGAGAATCCCAAAAATCAGCCACTGTCCCTGAAGGCAAGAGTGAGAGCCTAAAAATCTTTGGGAATTTATCCCTAAGAAGCTGATCCTCAACCCATTTACTCCCAAAACAGAATTCGCTCACCAGTACCAAGTTTGAAGTGCTAAAAAGGCATCCGTTGGAATGTTTTCACATTGCCAAATTCAAAGTTTCTCAATGGTGTGCTCTTTCCAATCTTTTTATCAATTACTCACCTAGCATGATTGATTCTAATTGGGATGCTTTTAGCTCTCCTTTATAATTTTATTTATTTTGTTTCAACTTTATGTGTTTTGTACTCATTTTTTTGTTATTTTTATTTTTATTTTTTATCTTTCTCACTCCTTTGGAGTTTGTATCCTTGAACATTTTGTGTTCTTTTTCATTTACCAATGAAAAGTTCGTTTCCTGTTCAAAAAAAAAAAAGTACCAAGTTTGAAGGTCGAAAACTTGTTCCAGTGCAACAACTGCCAAATGATGTTGATCCAAGGTCTTCTAAGGCAACCATTCTTCATAATACCCGAGGACCAACCCATCTCAGATTCACCGTGTAAGCTTACAATCACTTTATGCCATAATGCATCTGGTTTGCTCTTGAATCGCCAGCCCCATTTGGCCAAAAGTGCAGAATTCTTCTTAGAAAGACTGCGAACTCCCAAACCACCCTTCTCCAATAGCATAGAAGTGATCTTCCAATCAACCTGTTGAATTAGTTAGAAGTTAAGATTATGTGGACTTAGTTAGAAGTTGTTTAGATTTTGTGTTTAAATTTAGCAAATAAATCTCTTTTTTTGTTAGGGAAGTTAGGAGGTTATTCCTAGATTTTGTTTCCTCTTGTAACCTATAAATAGTGCCTCTATTCCTCATCTTTGATCAATCAAT